GACCCTAGGGTGTGTACTGTAGGTGACCTTTGTCTGTAGTGTTTAGGTGTTGTAGTGTGCTGTCTAAAGTGTACTTGGTGTGTGAGTGTTCGTGTAAGTGTTCCCCCAACCTGGAGGGCCAGTGGCTGGTTGCGGTACAATGACCGGGCGATGGGACCGCCACCTCCCTACGCCACCCCATGGCAACCAAAGCGTTCCAAATTTCTTTCCTAGGAACTGAGTCAAACGCTGCCCTTAGATATAGAAATGCCAGGTACAGGTTTTTGTTTCTGCCCCAGGCCTTTTCAGCGATGGTTCTAAGAACAAGGATATGGTCCTAAGTCTGCCGGCCAGGACGGAAACCAGCCTGTTCACCTTCCAGCTGTCCCTCCACAATCCACCGGAGCCTCCTTTCTAATATAGAGGTATATAATTTATAGACCACAAAGAGCAGACTGATGGGTCTATAGTTATTGCAGTCCGTTGAACTGCCTTTTTTATGAATTGGAAGGATTATGCTATATTCCCAATCCTTGGGAATTTTCTTTCTATCATATACTTCCTGAAAGAGCCTTCGAAGGACTTTAAGGAATTCATTTCCACCATATTTCAAATATTCTGGGGCGATACCATCCCTTCCTGGTGCCTTTCCTGCTTTTAGAGTCTGGATTGCGTCTTCTCTTTCTTCTTCTTCTATTACCTCTAGGCTTTCTAGAGTAGAGTGCTCTCGTTCTTGGCAGTGGCGTATTGCTGGATTTTCGGAGAAGTGTTCCTGAAAATGTTGTTTTCATCTGTTCAGGATCTCTTCCTTATCGGTAAGCAGGGATTCATCGCTATCCTTTACATTTCTAACGGGCTTGTTTTTCTTTCCTCTTAAAAATTTAATTTTTCGCCAAAAAGTTCTTATGGATTCACGATGGTCTTCACTCAGTTTTTTACCGAAATCCTCCCACTAACGTTTCTTATCCTGGCTAACGGCTGCCTTGCATTCATTGCTGGCTTTTCGGTAGTTTTGTAGCTTTTCCTTGTTTCTATCTTGAAGGTATGCTTTCCAGGCAAGCTTTTTCCGAGCAACTATTCGTTGAAGGTCCTCGGTCCACCAGTCAGTCCGCTTTCCCTTTCCAGATACCTTCCTCTTCCCACATACGGCATTTACAACCTCCAGAATACATGACTTTAATTTGTTCCAGATATCTTCTACCTCTCTGTTGAAAGTTGTTGCTCTTAATTTATCTTCTAAATTCTTCGTGTTGAGGAACCTCTTTTCTTGATCATCCAAGGTTCCAATATTCAGGGTCTTAAATGCCTTCGCTTTTCTTTTACTATCCATAATGATCTTTGTATCAGCCACAAGTAGAAGGTGGTCACTGCCTATCTCTGCTCCTCTCACGATCTTTACATCAGCGAAATATTGTCTAATGTGTCGGTCATATATAAAATAGTCAATTATACTATTTCGCTCCAAGCACGAGAATGTAATTTTATGAATTATTTTGTGTGGGTAGAATGAATTTCCTATGAGGAGGTCATTATCAACACAAAAGTTTATTAGCCGCTGTCCATTGTTATTTTTTACATTTTCACCTCCATGCAGCCCTAGAACGCCATATCCTGATCTAACATCATTTCCTGTTCTGGCATTAATATCCCCACTCAGAATTACAGATCTTCCTTTTTCCTTAGCTTTATCTACAATATTTTGTAAATCCGAGTAGAATGCCTCCTTTTCCATAACACTGGTATCCTCAGTTGCTGCATACACCTGGAATATGGAAATCCTACCAATGGGCATCTTAAAATCTGCCATGATCAATCGAGATGATATTGGTTCCCAGTCCTCCAAACGATCAATCATATTTGGAGACATTACTAGGCCTAACCCTTCCTTGGCGAAAATCCCTCTAGGTACTCCAGCATAAATTAAGGAGTAATTTCCAGGTAACTTCATTTCACCACTGCCTTTTTTCTTAACTTGACTGATTGAAGAATTTCTACTTTATATTTCTTCATCTCTTCCATCAGTTCGACCTCCTTTCCAGTTAAAGTTTTAATATTTCATGTTCCTATTCGAATATCCTTAAGCGCGCCGAGTCGTTTCCGTGAGGGCTGTCCACATCCGAGGCTAGGTAGGTCTCTCTGAATCTGCTGTACTCCAGAGGGGTGATTGGCCCAATACTAGAGGCCCCGTATCCTCGGAACAACTGGTGGTTAGGCTATACCCCCAACCTTGGGTCTTCCCAGAGAAGGTGGCCCTGAGGTGAGTACTGAATATGACCTTGTGTATGAATAAGTGTGAAGTTTACTGTTCTGTTGTGAGAGTGCCGTGTACTGAACCCAGGAGCCCGAGGGAGCGTTATTCCCCACTAGTTTGGCACTTTGACTAGTCCCTGCGGGGGTATCAATCTATCCCGAGTTGAAATTTGACACGAAAGTTGTCTTCTGTTGGCGCTCATAAAAAATCAATCAGGGGTGATAACAATCACAGATATACGCTCATTGTGGAACAGTTAAGAAATATTTCTACTAAAGAATTGAATGTTTTTTTTTTAGAATGATGATAAGTCGGAAAAATATTTTTTTTGTGATCTGAAAAACAGCATATACTTTTCACACTCTTTTTTATTAATATATAGTATTGGAGAGATACGTTTGCTAAATATCTTTTTTAGTTCCTGAATCACAACTTGGACAAATATTAATTTTTATGTTTAAGAATAATTTACCCATGATGAAAATTACAATCCTTTCACTTATGGGATCATCTGATTATGCACAAAATGTAGAAACTTTGAAAGCTGCGGTTCGCTAAATCTTGATTTTACAAAGAAAAGGCCAAATACATACAAGCTAGGTTCGACCTCAAGTTATCTTTAACTTAAAATTTCTCAAAATTTCAAATGATCATAATTCTGGAACTACTAGAATTGGATAGAACTTGACGATTTTTCTTATTTGTGTATTTACTTAATATTTTCATAAATATCTATGGGGTGAGTGTGGGCCCCTGCAACATTTGGCATGAAATTACCTAATATGTTCAAGCAATTGATATTAATAATTACCAGTTTGATAAAATTGGATCAAGGATTTAATTTTGGATAGGGGGTGGCTTTAGCTCGAACGCTTTTGTTTTTTTATATATTTAACGATTATTATTTTGGAAGAACAAAAATGCTATTAATTTATATGAAATAGTGTTTAAGTGATTCTTGGAGTCCTATTAAATGTGATTACACGAAAAGTAATACTTTTAAAGATAATATCTTAATATTTTTTTTCAAAAGATGTGGTTATACTTTACTATTTTGGGTGGGAGATGAGGACTTCACCTCGAAAGCCCTTCCCTCCTCCCGTGGATCTGCCTTTGTCCATTACTAGGCCTTTTTTTAATCGAATTTAATTTAAACTTTTATTCATTAGTTTAGCTTATTTATTATTGAATTTAATTTTCCCCTCTCAAATTATTGGAGAGGAGAAGGGGGCGAAACGATATTCTCGCCCTCTCAAAATTTTTATTGTGGGGGAGAGAGACGATCGCATTTCAAAGGGTCAGCGAAGGCAAAACTTTTGTGCAGAAAATTTTAATTTTTCGATAGCTATAAAAATTCATAATTGCGGGTTTATGGTTTGTTTGACTGTGGTAAATAATTGAAGAGAAGGATGGTTAAGGTGATCAGTCAAAATAAAATAGTAAAAATAAATAATTGTATTTATTTTTATTTTTACCGATGTTTCGCCCAAAGTTCAGGCATTTATTAGGGCTGCTCTACCAACAAGCATAGACAGACCAAAATTGATGTTAACGATATCGTTTCGCATACGATATCATTTCGCCCCCTCCCCCTCCAATAATTTGAGAGGAGAAAATTAAATTTAATAATAAACAAGCTAAATGAATGAATAAAATGTGTAAATTAAATTAACATCAATTTTGGTCTGTCTATGCTTGTTGGTAGAGCAGCCCTGGTGAAGGTCTGAACTTTGGGCCGAAACGTCGGCGAATGTGAAATAAATACAATTATTTATTTTTACTATTTTATTTTGACTGATCACACTAATCGTCCTTCTCATCAACTATATAAATTCGTATTTATCGGCTTTTTGAGGATCAAAAAAACTTTCTTTCACCCTAAATAAATATTTGCTCCAAAATTGATACGTCGGTTGTTTCAAATTTCGGCCATACAATGATACGTCGATTGTTTCAAATTTCGCCCATACATTTTAGCTATCAGCCAGATAAAATATTTATTATTAAACCAGTCTGATGTATAGAGTAAATGATGTACTCATTTAATACAATAGTTAATATATTTGTCTTATGCCCAAAAAACGATTAATATATAATATCCTCAAAACCGGGCAAAGCATAGGCAAAAAGAAATAACTTCAATTTTGTTTAAAATTATATATTTGTTTTCTCGGCTCTTAGAGCCCATTGCAAAAAACGCCGGGATGTGTGTTTAATCTTTATCGATGTAGTATCACAAACAAAAAAAAAAAAATGTTTGAAATTGGTAACCCACAGACTGTGTCTTCTTGTTAGTGTCGTATGTAAATCAATCAAATCAAAATTTCTGTTTAGCCCATTACTTAATAAGTCAAGAAAAGTTCTAGTACATAAGAGCTTTGTTTAATCATTTTTAATTTATAAAAAAAGGAATGGGTAAATTTAACGAAATTTGAAAATTACTAACGGTGTTTATTGTAAGTTTTAATTCATAGAAATAATGAGAGGATTATTGGATATCTTAAATATTAGAAATTCAATAGACCAACTTTACAATCAGCTAATACTTCACCATTTTTTAAACAAATGCATTGCAGATATTTACTTCCGTCAATTAAATGGCAGTTTTAAACTTAAAGTAAAAAAAAAGGATGTTGTAACTTGAAACATATGGTTAGCTATTTTTCAAAGTTTATTGACTCATTTTTATTTCTAATTAATTTATCTTTATTTACTACTACCTCTTTGATAGATATAATAATCTTCAATCGATTGTTAAAGTGATTTTAGCCCGAAATGAGCTGCTGACATTGTTATCAGTAGCTTGTAAATCCATAGGTATCGATTTTCCGTATATTTGTTTGAAAAAAGTGATTACTGAAGAGGTTTGTAGGTTTCTGTGTTTACCTTATGTCGTGTTTCTTTTCTTAGTGGAAGCAAGTGTAATTTGCGAATCTTTGAGTTTTATTGTATTATTAAAGGACGAAAAATGTGATATGGTTTCACAGTAAATCAAAAACTTACAATTTTTCGCTCCAAAGGTACTTACATACTAATTTATTTATTCAATTATTATGGAGGGGCCTGCAGATAGAGAATATAGTGCACTTGGAGGTTTATTCCAGCAAATTGTTTCTGATATGAAGGTATGTTAATTTTTTTTGTGTGTTTTTCTTAAAATGGAAACAAAAGTTTGATATGCTAATCTTTTGCTACTATTTACCTTACTTAAACCTAATCTTTTTGTTTTAAAAGTAGTGTTCAAATTTTTGTTTTTATGTATGATTGTTCCCTGTTTCAAGTTCTGTATGGACTAGGTAGTAATTTTTTTTATCAAGTAATCTTAATATTTTTGGAAAATTTAAATTTATTTGCAAGTTTAATGTTTATATTTTATTGGATTATTTTCTGAAGCAAATCGTTACCAGTTATTAAGTGTTTTAATTTTAATTTTTTTTATGCTGATAGTTATTTTATACTTCATTCATTGTAAATACTGAGATTCTTATTTTTTCACTTCCATCCATGAATAAGAAAATCATTTGGTATTATTTTTAAACCACTCCAATAAATTGACAACTGAATTTGTTAAAGTTTAGAATTTTTTGTATCTGGTAATTATTTCCCTCTTTACTTTGATTACTGATGTTAAGGAATTCTAATTTTAATTTTGGCCATTTATTTTAATAAAATTTTAGTTATTGCCAACTAAATAGTTATTGAACAATTTATTTGTTGAGCATTCTACATCTTGACAACAATCTATTTTGCTCCTCATTAGGACTTGTGAGATATCTGATTGTGATGAATTTTAGATTTTCTTGCTTCCAACTAGTGGCTAAAAATGTTAGTATGGCAATCAACCTTTCTTTTACACTAATAGGATCTGTTTGGTATGCAAACGTTCCCAAACTCAACACTGATTTCATCAATTGCATCGTTCTGCACAATTAAGAGGCCGATCTAATGTCATCGATAAGCTCAGTGCCGAGTTAAGGTACTAGCCCTTTTATTGTGAAACTGTTTTATGGATTTAATGAACTGCTTTTCCATTCTCAGGAATTCCATTTAAAATCCCTATTCTATTGATATAAACTGTGTGAGTTCAATTGAATCAACAATGTTAAATAGATAAATTTCTTTTCTTCCTTCTGCCAATTTTTTTCCCCGAAATTTCCTTTCTGGTGGTGGAGAAGAAGGGCTGAACGGATCAGTAATATTATAAAAGTAACCCATTTTTTAAATAGAAACAGAGCCATTACAGTTGTGATCAGTATTTGATATTTACTTAAGGTGAGATTGGACAAAAATGCAGAATATGGCTAACATTCTCCTTTCTTATATTGGAGAATGTATCGGAAGGTATAGGTGGGCATTTATGCCATCAAGAGACAACAAAACGTGAGACACATAACAGTCATGAGAATATTCAATAATTATTTTCTTTCCAGAAAATAGTAATGACTTCAGATGCAGCAAGAAATCTGTTAAAAAATAATGTTTTTTTATTCCCACTCCTGCAGGATCTAAGTCAACCTCATAATTTCTTGCATCTTTCTTTTATTCTGCGGTTATTGCCATTTTCAAGTAATAAAGAAGCATAACTTTATTTAAAATGCTGAATCTACCAAGTTCAATTTTGTGTCTGCTGTAACCCTAAAAATTTACAGTTGTAAGATTTCTACATTATTTGCTTTGTCAATACATATACCTAATGAAAAGTTGGTATCTTTGAGACATACCTACTAGTTTTTTTTTTTTGTTCCAGAATGGTATCCCTCTTTGGGAGGAGTTGGTTATCAAAGCTACAAAACTGCATTCCTGTTTGAGGTAAGTTTTTAAATATTTAATTGAATACTGAAATTATTATATTATATTATCTACAGTCCAGTTTTTATTTTTAGGGCTACAATTAGTGCCATATCATCATATCTTGATGCTTTCCAAAAAATAGCGGATTTGGCTACAAATACAAGAGGTAATCTTAATTGTTATTTTATTTTTATTATGTTATTATGAGGGAAAAACGGTTTCCTCCTTTATGTGTTTTGTCAAAATATTTTTAAGGATATGATTTTTGAAAAGGAACAACTTTCAACTTTTAATTATAAAACCTTGCATGTGATTCAGTGGTTGAATCTAAGGTGACCTTCCGTCTTATTTTTTGTAACAGTTACAAATTTTTTTTGGCTGTGAATTTTTAGAAGTTTGTTGTAGGGTGAAATTTATCTTAGATTTGACAGGAACAGTTCATTCAAAACCTTAGCTTAAATTTTGATTTGCTTTGGTGTTACTAAGGATTAAAAAAAGGGACAAGAATTGATGCAGTTGTCGTTCTAATAATCAAATTTAGTTAGTTATATTCTTAATTTATTTATATGGTGATATGAGTTTATATCATAAATTCTACAGCTGAAGGTATATGTAAATAAAATAAATAGCTTTATAGTATGCATTGGTTCAGAATAGTATGTATGAAAAAATGTCACTAAGGAGAATTATCAGAAAAAGTTAGAATTCTTAATAAAAAGTCCAGAATTAGTAGGGAATTTCAATTACTGAATTTGCTAGACACCATGAACCTACCTAATCTAAACTGATTCCATTTTATGTAATTCTAAAGCTTAGGGCATATTTTCTATGTATCTATTGGAACTTATACTAGTACTGGCCTGGCGGTGCTGTTTGTTAACCCATGACAAGTACCTACAGGTTGTAATTGCATACTATCCGATTGGGAGTGTCAAGATCTATTTTTGAGACCATCAAGAAATAAATATTAACTGGCCTGGTAGGAATCAAATCTCACAACATTCCAAACTCACATGCACTCTAGAATCCTTGCCTCAACTAGCTTGGCCATCACTTTCTCTTTAATTGATTTACTTGATTCAGGTTTGTGTACATATTAATCCTTAAAATCATTTATTGATTTGTTGGTTGTGCATTACGGCATTATATCTTGTTACCATCATCTAGGTTTTGGTGAATTTCAAATAACACAAACTAATTTCTTAGCCTCATTAAAATACAATTCATTTTCTGGCATATTGTTGTAGAAGTATCCAATTTACACGAATAATTCGTTTAACATAAATCTCAAACATTTTGGGTAATGATTGAATAAAGTTTTTTGCCAGCACGGACTTAATGTAGTTACAAATATTTAGTAAACAATGCACAGTTATTCTTCACTTTACCTCTTCTTTATGTTTAGTTGTATATACATTTTTTACATGAACCATCCCTTATTGTATTAATTTTAAAAATTCTATAAAAACTCATTAACAAATTTGTAAGAATAACAGAAAATTTATTTTTATCAGTAATTTTGGGTTTGATGAACTACAACCTGTAAAAAATAAATAGTTATCTACAGGTCTAATCTATTGATGTAAAAATCAAACAATAAATTATAAATGAATTGGATAGCGACATGATATTAAAAAAAAAAAAGTTATTAAAAAATTTGCTATTCTAAAATCATCCATATAAACCAACATTAAAAACATTGAGAAGATAGACCCCACTGTTGTGTCTGAATTTGATTGTCAAAGCACCTTTGTGAAACAAGTCGTGAAAATGTTTAGGGGTAGAAATTCAAATCTGACACTGCCATTAAAACCAAGGACCTTAGATTTTTAGAGAAAAGGTCCATAAGCAATTTTTTTTTTTCATCTCAGAGGTAAATACAAAAAATTTTTTTTCCACTTCTTATATACGAAAAATGAACTAAAAATCTGAATTTTGTTGTTTTTTTAGTTATACCTTTCTGTTTTGGCACTATAAAAATATGTTTAGAGAAACTTTTAGGCCACTGGGTACATCGAACTTGTTCTTCTTTGGTTAACGAATTTTTTTAAAAAATGAACTGGAGGTTTTTGCCCCCACTAAGTTAATTTAACCAGTGAAGGCAACTATGATTATATTTATAATTTAATATAATGTTTTATTTGAATTAAGTATTTAATCTATTATCACATAATGTGCAATGAGATTTGTGTAGTTTCAGTTTATTATGTAATTACCTGAAAGAAAGACGTAATAAATTTTTAAAAAAATGTTAAATAATAATTTAGCATCTTTTGGCTATGAAGAAGCATATGATAAGTATTAATTGATGATTCAAATACATCCTAGGTGCAACCAAAGAGATTGGAACTGCTCTTACAAGAATATGTTTAAGGCATAAAGCAGTAGAAGCCAGAATGAAGACGTTTACAAGGTGAATGATTATATGTAATTGTATAAAAAAAAAATTGATCTTGTGTAACAATGTTATTAGCAATCTCATCAGTCAATACTAATGAATACATTTTAATATGTTTTATTTAACTATTATATTCATTTTAAATAATTCAAGTTTATGGTCGTTTTGAAACTATTTTCATTGCAAACTTTTGGCTTATCATTCCAGATGATTATAATTTCTCTTTAAAAAAAATTATATGTATATATATATATATATATATATATATATATATATATATATATATATAGTTGTGTGTGTGTGTGTAATATAAACTTTTATCATAATGAACCAAATAAAATTAATTCTGTTATATTAATTTGGTATGTTGTATGAACTGAATATCATATTTTAGTTTGTAGTTAAAAACAGTCGAAGCAATATAATTTATTGTAAAAATAACATTAACATTCATTTTAAAACCTTTTTTTTTATTTTATTTTTTTATTTTAATGAAATTTACAACTGTATTACATGGAAAATACAAGTAAATATGACATTGGTAACATGACATGTACAACATGAAGAGAAACTACCCATTGGTTGAACTCAAATTAAAGTTCTATATTAGAAGGTCCCGAGGCCATCTTCTTTTCAGACGCCTCGGAGGGTTATCAGGGATCGAGGAGGAAGCAAGGTTTGAAACGAGAGGATTCGGATGGTTCTGCAGTTTGTTATGGAAGGATAGGTATCTGGATTGGGCCAATCGGAAACATATGGAACATTAAGGTCTTTATGGATGATTTTATTTGTGACAAAGTAAGGAGCGTTGAGGATTTTACGAAGGATTTTGGATTGTAAGGATTGGATACGAGAGGAATTCGATGGTTTAGTGGAGCCCCAAAGCTCAATTCGGTAAGTCCAAATAGGTCTTATTATTGTCATATATATAAGTCGTTTGTAATTGATTGAAAGCTTAGACGTTGTCTAGTAAGTGCTGCAGTAGTCGAAAACGTTGGGCGGTTTCTAGTCGTTTCAGTCTGGTATGGGGGTTCCAAGTGAGTCGTTTGTCAAGGTGGAGTCCTAAGTATCGGATTTGTTCGACAGGGATAAGAGGGCTATTGTTGAAGGATACTGTAGGACAGGAAGTCATAGGTTTACGACGAAGAGTGAAGGTAATTTGATGGGATTTATTGGAATTTATTTTAATCCTCCAGTTTTGACACCATTTTTCAAGACTTGTGATGTGTGATTGAAGAGTTTGGGATGCAATAGATGGATCGTTATTAACTGATAGGATACACGTGTCATTGGCATAGGTGGTGATGACAGTGTTGGATTGGCTTGGGATGTCAGCTTTATAAACTGTGTAAAGGATAGGACCTAGGATACTACCTTGAGGAACACTGGCAGACTGAGTAAAAAGAGATGAATAAGCATTGTTATGATTGACTTTGAAGTATCTGTCAGTAAGGTAGGAACGGATAATGATTCTATTTATGTAGGTGGTAGGAATTTATAAATCAGTCCCGGATGCCAGACTCTATCAAACGCCTGTTTAATGTCGAGAAAGACTCCCGTGCAGTACATTAAAATCTTTGAATTTAAGGAGCTTTTTAGTGATCAACCATAGTGATTTGTCAGAAGTAGTAAGTTTTTCTGTCTTGTTAATTAAAATTTGAACTTTGTATTTTCTAATTTCAGCTTCTAGTTGGTTAGTTAATTTGTTGTAATATGTCTTATCTGATGGTTATCTAGTCGTGTATGTAAAAACTAATTAACCTTTTAAATAAAAAGTTATATTTGTGTACAAAGCTTGTTTACATAATCCTGATATTTGAATATAGTTTTGCTCCTGAAAAGGTCTATATCCTCCTGTACATTGATTTGTTAACTAATTTTATCATTTTATTACTCCCAATGGCAATAATAACTAATGTAGGTGGAAGAGAGAAATACAATAAAATTGTACAACTGGCTGCTCAACTGTGTTGAGTTGTTAAATCACACAGCGTACTTATCAGCCCAAGAGACATTATTTAAAATCAGAACAAACCAGTTAGTTGCTACCATTTGACCATAGCAAATATATTTAAAAAAACGACTTGTATACAGAAATAAACAAGCAAAGGCATTAGTATATGTGATGATGGAGGATCCCCAATGAGTCCAAAATAATAGTCTCTGCCATTGTCTCCATCTGCTTTCTTCCATTACCGAGCTTCAGCAAGAAATCACTTATATGAGAAATGGTTCCTCTACTTTCGAACCACAGCCCTTTGATTGAGGTGTTTCTCTCTCGGAATTCATCCCCATATTCTTCTTATATAAGTAGGGTATGTATTTCTTATAAATTTCTTCTTTCTCTGCTTGTACCTATAGTCCTTGTCTTGATTGTTCGTTTCAAACCTGATTGTTGGATCTATTATAAGCTCCTCTTTTTCTGTTGCATTAAACTCTAAAATGTCAAAAAATCTTCCAAAACCTTCTGTATCTAGCAGTAGATATGGGAAATTCAATTAATTTAGCTGAATTGATTCTCAATGATTCAATCATTGTCATGTATTAATTCTTCGATTGATTCTTTTCATATTTTTTTTTCTTTTAATTAAAAATAAAAATTTTATTGAAAAAAACTGTAACAAACATTCTCAAACCTTATGGTTTTTCCGGCGAAAACATTTTTTTTTTTTAACTGATTAAAATTAAAAGTACTGGTTCAGTATATACAAATAAAAAGTCATGAATTTTATAAATAGGAAGGACATTTAAATTGGACAGAGTGTATCGGGCTACTCTATGACCTAGGGAGCATCAGTTGGAAGCCATTCCTAGCGCGAGCCTTAACCAGCCTCCAACCTAACTCCCTGGACCAGGTAAGTCCAAGAAGCATGCGGGCACACAACCGGCGCCCACGGAAATGACGGACTCTACTACCATAGCTTCCGTCCACTCGTCCACACATTATACCAGAAGCTAGCCTGAACAACGTCAAGACTAGCCGAACACTGGTTTTGTGCAGCGAGTGGTCGTAAACACAACGACCACTACGACCGCCACGGCCGAACAGTGCAAGCACTCTCGCCGTCCACCCATAGCGCCGCCAGGGCTCCGGCGACACCCCGTAGTACCAATTCGGTCGGAAGCACTGCTTCCCTGACCTTAGAGCACGATTGGTCTCAGGCTCCGCAATCTTACGATCACTACGGCTTTACATTGACTGCCGATGTACAGGAGGATGCCTGCACCTCCGCAGTCAATGAGGGACACGACTCAAACCTAAGGGTTCGAGACGATGACCGTCCCCGTATTTAAATTGGACAGAAACTTTTTTTTATTTTTTTATTTTACCTATTAGATTTTGGTCCTTGTATTTAAATTGTAAATGAAATGAAATATAATTTTATTCTCCTGGGACTGATGACCCCGTAGAACAAATTATAAATATTAAATAAATAAAATGTGACAGTATGACCATACATTAAATTAAATATTTACATAATAATAGGTAATTTAGAACAAACTATAAGAGAAAAAAAAAACTGAACATATATATAAATAAAATAAATAGGGAGAAAAAATAAACAAAATAGTTATGTAAATAAGCGTAGGTTATAAATTGCAAAGTGTGAAATGCTCTTGGAAGAGTAGATTCAGAAAGTAAACAAATCAACCCAACAAACAATGGGACAGACTGGGGGATTTCCTTGAACAAAACTGGTGAATCGACCTATTTCTTGTGAACCGGAGAATCGACCGATTCCTAGTGAATCAGGAATCTACCAATTACAACTGAATCAGTGAATTGATGAATCGTCTAAGTCAGGAATCAACTGAATTGGTATATCGGCTGATTCTGGCTTAATATATCAATTCACTGGGGTAGTTCTAGAAAATCTTCCAGTCTTTTTGCATTGTTGGCTGAGTTGTCTTGTTTACTTTCAGAACCTACTCTTCCATGAGCATATCACAGTTCAGATATTTATAACCTATGCTTATTTAAATTACTATTTTGTTTGTTTTCTCTTTATTTGTATTATTTATCAGTGTGGCGGCAGACTTGGAAAATGGAAAAGCCTCAGAAAAAATTGTTAAAGTCAGGGAATTTTTTTATTACGTAAATATTTTTTTCAAATTGGAAATAAATATATTGTGGATAGCGTATATAATATATAACGATATATAACGACTTTGAAGGGGTTAAATTCCTCCTTATAAGCGACCATTGTTACTATATTGATCCACCTTTGACTGTCAATAACGGCACTGGTCGTTATATTGAAAACATACAAGGGTAATGAATAAAATTTAAGCAAAATGATTTAAAACAGTGTTGTTGTTTTTTTTTAAAGAAAAACATACCAATGCTATTCTTCTTTGTTTTTCATTGACACGACAACGGTTACTGAGTCCTGGTCTCCTTGAGCAGCTTCCACCAGTTTAATCGATGTGCACCTATCCTCTAATTCCGAACTCCGAACAGGGTCCTCGAATCATCTTTAACACCATCCACCCATCGAAGTTTCGGGTGGCTTTTCGATTGGGTGCCATAAAATTCTTCTTCTAAGAGTTTTTTGGGAATCTCGTGGGGTCCCATCCTGATAACATGGCCAGACCATTGTAGCATACTCAGCCTGATAACTCGTGCTACACCGGGCTCGCTAAGCAAGGAGTATACTTCTTAATTAGTACGCCTTCTCCATGCTGTGCCATTCTTCACTGGGTGGTGTATGCGTCTAAGAATTTTTCTCTCAAATGTTAGAATAGAACCAATACTATTTACTATTTGTATTATATACATCTGAGTCAAGATCTGGCTGGCAAGCACATTCGTTCGACCCGTGGTGCTCTTTAAGGAGCGTTTATTAACCAGAAACGCCACAGTTAGTGTGATATGAATAATGTATCATGCTGTTTATAATAATAAAGAAACTAAATCACTTATGAGAAACTACATTAATATTAGAATCCTCCGTAGCTCACTATATTTTGTAATAGAGAAAATCAGAGCTTTACATGTCAACTTTTACCTCCTCTCAGTTTATGAAAAAAAATAAATTACTAAAATTTTAGTTTTCTATAATAAAAAAATTACAACATTAATATATTTGTTCTTTCTTAAGGAGACTTGAGCTTTTTAGTTAATTATCGTAGTTTACTATGATACATGTATAGTAATTTATCATTGTTACTATCATTTTTGAGAAGATTTTCAGACGTGTTCCCAATTGGAAACAATGACCAGATCTGACTAGAGTGAAGTTATATGCGCAAGATTTGATTTGTTTCCTTTTCCCTTCCAAGAAACTCACTTAATTATTTCAGTTGCTTTTAAAGAATTGATTATTAATGAATTTATGTTTTGCATCATACTGACTGGTAATAATTATGGCCAATATGGTGATCATTCTTTTAAAATGTTTGTTTGTGGAAAAACTGATTAGGTTTGGATTCAAAACCTGGGTGATTTGCAGAATTAAATTGAATATAACAGTAAATTCATCTTAATAGAACCAAAATATGACCTTTGGTGGCTATATTAGGAATGAAGAATGCCAAGAGAGTCATTTGTAGCAATGAGGTGTTTTGTATAAACTGACCCAGGCTGAAAAAATATATTATTCTAAAAAAAGACCAACTGGATATTATTCAACCTTCCTGATTCATGAGTATAATTGTGGAATTAGTGGATTGGACTTCAGTTCAGCATGCAAGAGTAAACAAAAAAAAATGGTGGTGGAACCATTTTGCAAATGCATTGAACATGGCTGTTGCTGCAGGCTGGTTTGAACATCTAGAATTTGGGAAGGCAGAAATGTTAAACCTCCTCGGAATTTTGCCAAGAATTGGAGAGAGCCTACCTTCGAGTCATTCCGCTTCAGTAAGACAAATGAATGTTTTTTCATTAATTCATCTCAAAGTCTGTGCTCATTATGTTGTAAACGCTAAACTTAATTTTTGTTAAGCAAAAATAAAATGTTAATGAATAGATTTCCATCTAATCATATAATTCCAATGTTCTTTATTACTTATTACTTGCCAATTCAATAGTACTCTTTTTATCTTAATTGAATGACTTCAATAAATTATGTTGACTTTGCCTTTTTCTTTTTTCTTTTTGCCTATAGTACTTTCTCTATTTCATATATATATATATGAACCTTCGTCAGTAGTGACCATTGTTCCCAGTTGGGAGAAGATGCCAAAAAATTAGAAAGCCAAAATTATGAAAAAATAATTAAAATTTGATTCGGATACAAATTCGGTTCTTAATGCGACCATTTTGTAGTGATTCAGAAAGAAAAAAAGTGTGTTTAGTTGTTATTTTTAATAATATTTATGATGAGGCTAAAACGACTAATTCAGAGGTGCTCAATCCTTGGCATATGTGCCTCAATATGTCATGCTTGAGGTGTTGTATTAGCACTTTGTTATCCATTAGGTATTTAAATTAGTATTTTTAATTTTGTTACCCAAAATCAACAAACTTTTCAATTTATTTTCCCTGGGATGACAAAGTGTTTTAGGCTTAGCATATTTGGTATAGGTAACAAAATTACTTTCTCAGTACATACATTTTATTGCTTACATAATAGTAATTAATTATTTTTATTATGTAGGTAAATTAGTAAAATTTACAAAAGGGGACAAATATGTTAAAAACAAATGCCTATATATGGATTATAGGGGAGGTAGACAAAGTTATGACATGCTGCAATAAGGGGAACACTTGGTTAGGGCACATGTTACAATAAGATTGAGCACACCTGCATTAATTATTGATCTTTAGTTGTAATAGTTATGTTTTATATACTGTTCTGTTTTAGTGTTACTATTTTATAGCTTTTTGTTAACAGTGCTATAATGGATTGCCTAGTTATACCTTTGCAAGAAAAACTTGAGGATTGGAAGAAAACATTAGTAAGCCTTGATAAAGAACATGCTAAAGGTTGGTTTTATTCATAAAAAATAATTGAGTTAGTTCTTTAATTAGTCTTAATTCATATCTGATGAAAATCTTGATATTTGTGCTAAGTAAGTTCCAATCCTCTGCGTGAATTCCTGTTGTGAAACTCGCCTCCTGGTCGTTCCTGACACTCTCGTGGTCTCTTCCACTGGGTAAGGCTCTCTTCCAGAGGTCGTGCCCCTAATACTTTAATAGGGTCCGTGTCCGCTTTCATATGACAGACATGTCCAAACCACTTGAATTGTCAGTTCTCTTGATGGTTTTGACTACTGATACTTCCAGCTACTCTCTTATACTTTAGTTTCTTATTAATCATCCCTCCTAGATTTCTCCTCCGATCTACATTGAAACCTCATTTCTGCTGCTGTAATGTCTGTCCAATATATTCTAGCTTTCTCTGCCATAGGTGAGAATAGGCAGGTATACAGACTTATAAACGTGTATCTTAGTCTTCTTATCCACTTCACAGTGGCCGAGGATACTGTTAGTTATGTGGTAGTATGCCTGAATTACCTAGGATATTCTGTTTGAAATTTCAGCATCTATCTTACCAGAGTTATTAATTACACCCTAAGCAGGTGTATTCCTTCACCACCTCCAGGACCTCCCTGGTGCAGACCAATTTACTGTTGGATACATTAATTTGCATACCTTTCCTCAACAGCTCTTCTTCCCATTCCATCAGTGCTTGCTATAGTTTCATCTTTGAATTGGCTATGAGGACAATGTCATCCGCATATTCCAGTTTCCAAAAGCAGTCAACTGATCATAAAAAACTTTTTTTACTAAACAAATTTTTTAGAAAAAAAGTAAATTTTGCAGATCTTTTTAATTAAAAAAATATTGTATTTATTTTTGTATCGTTTCAGCCATATTAGTTGCTTTCTAACATTTTAATTTTCATAACTTCTTCTTCCTTATCATCCTCCTGTGTGCTTCTGTGTTTGGAAGTGTTCTGATGCATGTTTGCAATGCATCCTGATCCCAAGCCATTACTTTTATGGCATTTATAGACTTTCTCTTCTTTTAGCCTACTCTGGAGATGCGGAATGTTCTTAGTAATCTAGGCCTTCCTCTACGATGATGTCTTGTGAACTTGGTTTCAAAAAACTTCTTTGGATTTTAATCCTCATCCATTCGGCTCAGATAACCAAACCACCCCAGTTTGCTCTTTTCAAACGTTTTCCTCAAAGTAGGTACTCCCAAGTCCTGCCTATTCTCTCATTCTTCTCTTTATCTCTTCTTGTCATACCTGCTACTCTCTGGACGTATTTCATTTCCATGGCTATAGATCTTCTCAAGTGCCTGTTCAGTGGGACCTAGCTCTCATTTCAATTGAGAAAGGTAGGTAATTAAATGACCTTAAAGATGTGTAATTTTACATTGTTTTTCACCTCTATTTTTCCCACCTCAGTGTTACAAACTGTATTTTAATATATACTGGTATTATATGCTATTAGCTTTCAAACATTGATTGATTTGAATTTCATGACAGAATGTTTTTGTAAGAATGGATTATGTGTTTTTTCATCTACCCATGATATTAGATTGTTGATATAATCAACATTTCTTCTTTGGAGGATTCTTGGTTAAGATATAGTAGCTTGTAAGAATATTCCTTTAAGTGTATTATCTAAAAACTACTGAAAGATTAATTACAATGCTAAAATATATAAATGTAAAATGAGTAATTAGATTTTAAAATTACAAACTAATACTCAATAAATTAATGTTACTCTGTTATCATTGTTAAGACAGCTTTAATTTTCAGTTTGCTTTGAAATCATTAAATGATTTATACCATATATAGAAAATGAACCAGACTATTTGGTTACTGGTGAGGTGAGCTATGTAAAGTAGCTTGAGTTTTAAGACAGTAAAACTATATTACATATAGTATATAGACAAAAAATTATATGGACAGTAAAACTATAGTTTTGGGGGAAATGTATCCATTATGAGATTATAAGTGAATTTTATTTTTGATTAATATAATGACATGGTTTTATTATATTTAATATAATGATTATAATATAATAATAATGTTTTTGTAATTGTTTAATATGACTTTTTTTTAATACAATTTTTGGATCATTTCAAGTAAACATTCAGAGCAATTTCATATAATGATATGTTATATATTTCATAACTAGTTAAGTTATTTATTGTAACTTTGAAGTTATAAATGACATAATGTATGGTTTTTTTTGGTTGTACAGATTACAAAAGGGCTAGAACAGAATTAAAAAAGAGATCTACTGACACATTAAGGCTTCAGAAAAAAGCTAAAAAAAGTAGCAAGGGGGATTTACAAAGGCAGGTTGAATGTTCTTTGAAAGATGTGTATGAAAGAAAACAAATTCTGGAAGAGATTGAAAAGAAAGCCGTCCGCTCAGCTTTGGTTGAAGAAAGGAGTAGGTTCTGTCTTCTTGTGGCATTTCTGAAACCAGTTGTTGTAAGGTTTTTCCCTTTTAAATTATGACTTGTCTGATTGATTTGTATATATGTTTATAGATAAATTAACTATTTTTTTTTTCTTTAGAATGAAGAGGTTGCAATGCTTTCAGAATTGAGTCATTTACAAGAAGTTCTTGAACAGCTTGAAAAACATACTACTGATCCACATATTCTTCCTGCAGCAAGTGAACAGGTGAATATAAATTTTCATAAACATTAAGAGAATTTATGAATTAATAGTATTAATACTATGTTATTTGTTCATTCTATTTCATTTTTGTATAGGTATAACTTGTCTTGCAAAACTATAAACATGTCTTAGATAACATATGTTTAATTAAAATGTGGTATTTATAATCTCTGAATTGTCTCACATGGTCAAAAGTGATTTTTTAAAATGTATAATGTATTTATTTTCTTTTTTATGGTATTCTCAATGAAATGTTCAGTGAGAACAAATCCTCTAAGCTCTCAGCTAAACTTGACCAAAAAATATGTTGTATGATCCTGGGGGATATTTGCCTTCTTCACAATTGTTTCAACTTACTACTTCATCAGTTCTATGTCCTTGCTGAACTGATACTCTGTATTTTTGCAGCTTCAGTTCGACTCAGTGATACTTAGCACTGATGAAATGTGGTTGCTGTTCTAACATGTCAGTGCCTAACATTATAAATAAAATTTAAGCTTAAGCATATTAACAGAAAGCAATTTTTTTTCATCTTGGTTGATGTAAATATAGCAACTTATAATTTTTCATGAAAAAAACACTTTTTTTTCAAGTCGGTTCCAATATGCTTAAAACTTTTCCTTGCATCTTATTTGTAGTAGTGACTTAAAACAATATCTTAAATGGAAGATGTACTAGGGTAATTTTCTTCAATTTTCCAGATTGGGTGGCCTAGCTGAGCAGCACACCCATTCTCGTGAAAATACCTAAAATCGGGTAGATTCTTAAATAGCCTTAAAAGATGAATTGTTTTTCCAATGTGGAATTCATATGCTACCAGATGTGTTAATTCATATGCATGTGATAAGCAATACTTCCAATGACATATTTTTTACCATTTACTTTAAATAAAGGGATTGATTTTCACAAAAAATAGCGAAAACTTATTTAAGGTCCTAATGTAAATTCAGTAAATACTTGGGTACAGTATTAAAGACTTTCAAGTTGTTCTTTTTTCTTGTAATATAGGGTTGGCAACTATATAATTGTTTTAGATGAATTTAATAAGAATGTTATCTTTTTTTACTGTGATCCCCTTGTTGTTCGACCTTTAATACCTCTTTTATTATTCCATGCAAATATTTTGTTGATCAAATGTTTAGTTTAGTATTCAAATTCTGTTTGAATGGAAGCTCAAAGTGTACATTTTAGTAAAAAATAAAACTGCTTCACAAACATAAAAAGTTATGTGCTGTGTACAGTGCCGAAGCCTTAAAAGAAAGGCAGTGTCAAAATTGGTTCGCGAAATTTTATGTGGTGTATTTTTAACTGAAAGACTAACAAAGCTCTGCCAACCAATGAAGTTGAAGATGAACAAATCAAAGAAATTATCAATGAAAATCGTCATAGCTCTACTTGTGAGATCAATTGATGAAAAATGGGTGGTTTAAAATAATGTGTCATGTGAAAGAGATCATGGAGTAAGGAAAAGGAATCTAAACAATGTAGGCAACAAAACAAGGAAACAATATCCTAACCTGATATTCACCAACAGGTTTTGGTATCAGTTTGGTGGAATTACAACGGCATTTTCAATTTTGAATTTTACTGCGCAATCAGACTATCAATTAAGATTTGTACATTCGACAATTAAGCACACTGAACTTGCCAATTCAACAAAAAGGTCCTTAGTTGATTAACTGGATGGGTGTTGTGTTCCATCACAGCAATGCAAAACCACACACATCTTAGTTTACCCAGAAAAAATTATTGAAGCTTGGTTGTGGTGTGTTGCCACATCCACCATACCGTCCAGACTTCTCTTCTTTGGATTACCATTTGTTTCGTTTTTTGTAGTGCTTTTTTGGATACCAAACAATTTATCAATGACAATGATGTTAAAGCACACTTGGGTCCTTTTTTTTGAGCTAAAGGTCAAAATTTTTACAAACATGGGATCATGATGCTGCCTGAAAGATGGCAAATAGTCATTGATTAAAATGGACAGTATGTTTCAGATTAAATACATTTCATTACAAAATGAGTTTTTGTTTTTATCTTCCCTAAAATCTGTGATTACTTATTTGCCAAGCCTATAATTTAAATAATTTTATTGTATATTTTTTTAATTTGTTCTAGGTAATTGATGACCTAAAGAACTCAGAAGGGTGGACTTTCAAAACTCCTCCAAGCAGTCCTGGTTCACTTGGTTCTAGAAAGTCAAGTATGTGTAGCATTTCCTCTTTAAACAGTTCCTCTAGCGGGAGTTCAAAATCTCACCCTTCTCCTAGTCATCATCATTGGCATCGTTCATTGTCCCAGGTATTTTTTTCTTGTTCTATTTTGTCCTGTGTGTCTATAGTTTGTGTTATTTGTTTACATTTAGTATTATGCATATATGTGTTACTGTTGTTTATAGGTTAAATTTTTGTTATAGGTGTCCAGTTCTTTAGACCAGAACAGTTGTATTTATGTCAATAAACTGAGCATAAGTACAAATAATATTGCTCTTGAACAAAGTAACATGTCAGGTATTTTATTTAAAATTAGCACATTGTTATATTAAACATTAAAATTATGTAATAGGATGTTAGTTATACATACCATGTATATTTCAAGATAAATTATGATTTTTTTTTTTTTTTCATTTGAGGTAATCCATGTTTGATTTCATTAGTTTTGTTCAGTTTTTTTTTCTTTATTTAGAATTTTTATGCTATCAAATGTTTTTGAAAATATAAATAAATTAAAAGCTGTCTTCACAACATGGAAAACAAAAAAATTAAGTTGAATTCAAAATAAAAAATTGCTTAATGTTTGAAACGAGATTCAGAAAATCTTGAGTTCAGAAATCTCTCTCTTGGATATCACAATTTCTTCTTAAATTAGATGCTCCCCAAATTGCCATCTTTTTGGAAGAGTGAAGCATTTTTTTTTTTCATTTTTTATTTATTAGCCATTATTTTAAACTTAAACTAAGGATCTTTTTTGATGACAATTACATTTTAAATTTCATTTAATGTAAATTTTTATTTGATATATAGAAATTTTAATTGATTGACATTATATTTTTTCCCAATACAAATCCATAAATATTTAAAAAAAGGTTCAATATATGAAGAGATTTTCGATGTACAGAAGTTCAGTATGCAATTTAAACTTTTATATACAGGATTTGAATCCTTTTTTATAAAGCCTATTTCTCTTAATATTGCACTATCTAGAGCTTTTAGCTTTTATTTTAAAGATATTTTGGTGGGATGAAAACAAAACATCCTATAATTAAAGTTCATTTCTATAGTTAGACTTGTCTCAAGAAGCATTGTTAGATTATCCTTTTGCTTTTATTTAAAAAATACACAGTATTAGTAGTCTTGATATTTAGTCATGTTAAATATTATTATTTTGAAGTATAATAAGTATTTTATTGCTTATAATTATTTTGTTTAATTTTAGTTTATGATACTACTACTGAACCGTCAGGTGCACCCCTTAGTGTTCATACAACATATAAATCGGAAGTTTCTCTTTCAAGACCCTGTAGTCCTTTGACTAATGAAGCAAGTGGGAGGAGCACTCCAGTGTCATCGGTACAGCCATCAACAATAGTGACACGTCCACCCATTCCAAATAGGTGTTCTTCTTTGGAAAGACCTGTTGGACCTTCCATTAAAGAGAAATCTCTTCATTTGAATAAACATTCTTCTGTTATCTCAACTGGTTGGTTATATTTTTTCCCTTTTTATATGTTACTATTTTTTTTTTCTGGTCCATAGTTATAATTGTCTTTTGTTTGATACTAGACCAATTTTTATAAATAGACTATTCCTTATAGTAATATACTAGTATGTATGGTATCTCTACAGTGTGACTTATTAGTCACATAGTAGTTTTTAAAAGGCATTTCACTGCCTAATAATAGTATTATTTATAAAATTTGGGGAACTTGGTATTTATAATCTTTTCTTGGAAACAATACAGACTAATAGATCTGTTGTATTATTAGGCAATATCTTGAATTACAAGTTTTCTTGGCTTTATGAAAATATTAAAATTGGTTTAACTGATTTTTACAATATATTTATTAATGTAGTTATTTATTAGTCACTGGTATATATTTTTTGCTAACAGTGTTAAGTTTTATTAATAACCCCTTTAGAGTATTTCTTATTTATAAAAGTCCATTAAATTTAGTAACTCCTAGTACTTGTGATGTATGGGAACTGTTATTCAGGAATTATACCATAACTTATTTTTATATGTTTTTTTTTTAGGTATTAACAAGTCAAAATGTATTGTGATATTTAACTTTTTTGTCTAATGATGCTTGATATTTCATTATATCAACACAGATAATTAATTTTATGTTCATTTAGGTGGTGAGACTATGCTTCCTATGTATGTCAACATGTCAGAACTTGCCAATTTAGCAGCTACCAAAGCACAAGAAATGCATTTTCCACCACCTCCTTCTACTGATGTAAAGGAAAGTGATAGATGCTTGCAAGAAAAGGTATATTTTATAAAGAATGGTACAGAATACCCATTTAATCATATTTTGTCTAAAACATTTTAACCTTTTAAAAAATGTTAAGAAAATTGATCTTTAAACACCTTTGCACAAATTTTATAAAAATTGTTTAATGTTAAATGTACATATCTTTTTTTTTATTTTATTTTTTCCTTTCAGGCTGGGTCTATTGAAAAAGATTGTAGTACATCAGAGAGTTCATTGGAATCTTCTAGTGGCTATGGTAGTCAGACAATTCAATCTGGTCAGGAAGAGATGTCTCGTGGCGAAGGTATAGTTAAATTAATTTCCATGTTTCTTGATTCCCTCCCCCCTCCCAGTGTTTTACTGTTAAGGATGTTACATTTGATGAAACTATGGGTATATTCAGCATTCACATTACAAGATTTTTTTAAAATTTTCGTTAGAGCATTTTCTGATTTATAATGTTTTTAGTGGGTTGGGGAGTTTCAAATTATTAATATGCTTATCTCTGTATGCTCATCCAAATACCATATGCTCAGCTAATATTATTCCATTCTAAAAACATTTTTTTTTATACAGGGATTCCTTCCGGGATTTTGAGAAATTCCTTACTCAGACATGGATCCATACATCTGAAAAAACCTCCACCTCCTATACGTCGAACATCTTCTATATCAGTATCAGTCCGAACTAGTCAGTTTAATTTATCAAATTTTTCTCGTGGAAGCAGTGGTAGCTTAGAAAATTTGCCTCCTCCACCAGCTTATTTATTGGAAGGTTCACCTGATGCAAACAGATATCACAACTCATATGATGTATCAAAGAGGAATTCTGATGTGCAAAAGGCTAATCTTTATGCAAGTGAATACCAACGTAAGGTATTAAAAACTTCTGTAAAAGACCTGAAAGTTTCAAGTATGTATGAAACACTTCATGGAAGTTCAGTTAATGTTGCAGAAACAGTTAGGGCTCTAACAGAATTGAATCATACTCCTGCCAGCCCTGTTTCTGTCAGGCGATCTCATAGTGTAAGATCTCAGTCTGCTGATAGAAAAGTTGAACCTAGTCTTATTGCTGCTATTAGTGCTAAGTTAGCACCCTCCAGGAAACAAGATTCTTCATGTAACAAAGCTATTCGAATTAGGCAGTGGATTGCTGGTCGAACTTTACCAGATCCCAAAATATGCCATGACTCTTTAATGGACCAGATAAAAAAAGGGACTGTGTTACGTAAAACGAGAACAGTGAACGATCGTTCTGCTCCGAGATTATTTTACTGAGTTATGAACTAGTTTTTTTATATATCTTTGTTTACTGTTAGCATTAATTTTAATAATGAAGCATTTTTTAATGCTTCAGATAAAAAAAAAACTGTTGGATAGGGGTATATTAAAAATATTGACTTATGTCCTGTAATCTAAGGCTGTTAAAAGGGGTTTCATAGGTTGACTACTTTTACATTATTGTATGCACTTTTTATAATAATGAAATTCGTAACTACTTGATTTTTTAATTATATGATATGATTTTCATATATATATAGTTTAAATTTATACATTATTATTTATTGAATGTTTAGTACGAAGGGGAGTTCACAATGCTACTTAAACTATTTAAGTTTTTTTTGGAACAAGACTCGCATGAAATATAGTCTTTTAAGTTAGTCATTTATTTTTTTAAGAAATTTATTTTTGTGTTTCATACTTTATTTTTAATAATTTAATGCGATTTAATGTAATGATTTGCAATTGTAATGGTTTCAAATCATTATGTTAGCATTTACACTCCTAATTCTTTAGTTCCTACAACATAAATTATTAATGAAAGTAATTTTGTATTGTATTATTGTTAGATATTTTCTTTATTGTTTTCTAACAATTACTTTTACAATTCTTCCTGTTATTAATTAATGAAGACCATTCCTTAATAAATTAAAACTTTTTTGTTATTGAAGTATAGTGGAGGTTTAGTATTATTTGTTATATACCACCCTGAACATGAAATATATTGTAAAAACAATTTTTTATAATTTATTTCTTACAAACAGCCATTATTAGGCAACTACCTGTAAGTACTGATAGAATAAGTCAATTTCTTATAATGTCTTCTAATTAAGATTGAATAAATTAAACTAATCTTTTCATCTATTTTTGTGAATAGCTTCTGATTATATTACCTACTGAATATTTGTTTAATTTATTTTGGGTTTAATTAAAAATATCTTCTAAAGTGAATTTTAAAATTGAACTGGATGAGATACGATCGGTAAATAAAAATATTGTAAATTATAATACAACATTTGAAGTGGTGAAAAAGACTAAATATGCAATCTTTGAAGTATATTGATGAGATACTTAATTATTACTAAATCAGTAATGTGTTGATGTTTTATTAACTCTTTAACAGCTTATGGCATAAGAAGGGTGGTATAGCTGGCATAAATATGAGCAATGTGGCTAACGCACCCCAGGTCTGAGTTGAGAAAGGGTTCATCTATCATCAACTTTTACTCCTTGTAAAATGGTTTCTCTGTTTATTTTTAATAGGTTCCCGTACTCCTTTTTTATGCAAACTTTTTACATGCTATTATTGTATTTACAAATGTTTTATTAATTTTTGTTTTTTAATGTTAATAAAAAAAAAAATGAAGTTCAGGAGGGAGCGGCAAACTAACACTAGTATTGGCCAATAAAGGCCGACAGCCTTCTTTAGGTGACTCTTAGGACCTTTGGTAAAAGTTCCTCTCTATCTGCTACTCTGTTTGCTATTTATATTAATGACCTTCCTCTACTGATCCATCACTCCCAATACCATATCTATGCAGATGATTTCCAAATATATCTGCTCTTCCCGTCCACTGATCTATTATCAGCCACAGAAAAACTTCAAGAAGACTTGGATAGGATTTATGACTGGGTGAGAGCTAACAAGTTGAAGTTGAATGCAGAAAAGATGGAGGCAATCTTAATAGGCTCCAATCACCTCCTTAAAACTGTTCCTAATATTCCAACTCTGTTCCTACATGATAATCCCATCAAATTTTACCCCACCATCAAAAACCTTGGAATAACCTTTGATCAAATGCTTTCCTGGAAAATCATATATCCAACATATCCCACCATACCATTTCCACCTTAAAACATCTAAATTACTCCCGTCACCTATTTCTCCTTGAAACCCGTAGGCTCCTAAAAACTTCCTTAATTTTTCCCCACTTTGACTATTGCAGTAAGGTATATGGGGGCGTCTCTGGGGATCTCGAGGCAAAATTAAAATGTTTGATAAATTGCTTTGTACAATTCATCTTTGGGATCCTAAGGGACGCCTCTGTTTCCGTTTTTATGCAGAGTTAAAGTGGCTCTATCCTTCCTACCGTCGTAAGCATTTCCTGCAATCCTTCCTCTTTCAAGTCATCCAATCCCACCGTCCTTTATACATCTCCGAGCTCCTTCAATTCAAATTCTCTGTTCGTTCCTGCAATACTTGTTCTAGGCCTTCTGATTTATATATAAGGGCCCACTGAACTGCTGCTTTCAACAGATCGTTCATTATCCAATCCTCATCTCTATGGAACTCCATCCCTCCCCACATCCGTCAATCCAATACCCTTCCTACCTTTCAATCATTTCTTATCCATCCAGTCCCCATAAAATTGTAAATAGTTACTTCTGTAAATATGTATATAAATTATTAGATCGTTCTTCATTATTTTTTATTATTAACTGATTTAAATTAGAAAGTAACTTATAATTTCTTTTATTATTTTGACTATTTAATTACTCTATTATTGTTTATGAGGCTCCTTATCCCACATTTTTGTCTTTCTTTATTATTCTAAAGTGACTTGTCCCAGAATAAATAAAGCATTATTATTATTAAATTCTACTTAGTGAGGAATTTCAAAAGTAATAAGTTCTGGTAAAAAATAATGCAAGTTGCAGACATCTTATTCCACAGGTGGACTTCACAGATTCGGTTTGAGGTGAGGGCAAAGGAAAACATGCATATACATAAAACCGTATATATATATATATATATATATATATATATATATATATATATATATATATATATATATATATATACACATACACATATACATACATAAATACATATATATATACTTTTATATATATATATATATATATATATATATATATATATGTATATATATATGTGTGTGTATATGTGTATATTATCATGTATGTGGATAGAGAGTTCTTATTTTGTTTTAAAATTAATCTAACATATTTTAATATTTCTTTTATTTTAATAATTTTCAAAGGCTAATATAGCATGTAATTGGGCTTTTTTTTCACAATTAACAAAAAATAAGTACTCAATGAGTACATGAACTGTTATAGTTTGAGAGCTACTGGCCGCTCCTATTAAATTACTGTCGAATTCATCCCATGACTTCAATTCAATTTCATCAACAAAAATTATCTATCATCCTGGTTAAGAAACTTTACAATGATAATTTTTTTTTAAATTAAATCATTATAGATTTTTTTTTAAAATTAGCTGTTAAACTCAAAAGATGTTAGAAATGTTAAACTTAGCAGAAATTCTCAGAAAAAATAAAATGAAAGTAACTGCTGAGAGTATGTGATATTGTATAATAAAAATAAATTAAGATAATTGATTTTGTAACTCATAAATATTGGATTCGATTGTTGTATATATATATATCTCCAAGGGAGTGGGGTAGCTCAGTGGTAGGGTTCTTACTTTCCAATGCTTAAGGTCCCAGGTTCGAACCCCGGCTCATGGCAGAAAAAATATTTATTCTGTTTCATTGGCCATGGGGCGACCGGGGTAGGTAGATCCTCCTGGGGGACACCCAACCTCTATAAAGTGGGTACAGAAGAACAGAAGGTAGAGCTTGATCTCGGTCAAATCACCTTGAACAACCATACACCAAGAAACAGTACTTTCCCTAAGTAGTACTGAGCCCAGGAAGATGAGTTGTCGTGGTATAGGTTTTTTTTTTGTTTTTATATATATATATATATATATATTCAAGTAAATACCATTGAGATTTTTGCAGACATCCGTATTTCAACATCTTTGTTAAAAACCAGTATATTGTCACATTTTGGGCCTTATCCCTTTCCTCTAAACAGTAATATGACTTACCAAAGTTCTGTTCATAAAAAGTACACCTAAAATGAGGTCAACTGCATTTAATTTATTCCTTAACTTATGGCTTATAATAATTTTTTACTTGCAAAGAAGAATATTTTTGGATATTGCAATTATTTTACCTATAGGTTTATTTACTCGAATTTACTTGTTTGTATCATTTTTTTAAAGTGACAATAATAATTTACTTAATTCAAATAATGTAATTTGGATAGCATTAAATTTAATATTACAATGGTTTTGTATGTCACAAGTTATAAAAAGGGGAGTATTCAAACGAGACATCACTGAATAGAGAAGGTTTGTTTAGGCTTGTCCTAGCCTTCCTCAACTGTATATAAGAAAGGGGTTTTCATTGGGTTGTTTATTGTGTGGTCAATTTGAGATTGATTTATATGCAATCTGTGAATAATATTATCCAGTGGTAGTTCTTTGTGAAGAGAGTTGGGCTTATCAGTGTCAAGGTTACATCTTGTCTACAAGTATTTGTGAATTTATCTGTAGTGAAGTGATCTAGAGTAATTGTATTTGTGTACACTACCAGGCCACTGGTAAAGATTATGATTTGAAATAATGAGTTAAATTGTAAATTATTAATGACAATAATAAATTTATTGTTGTCATTTATTAAAACTGGCTGAAAAACATAAGAATATTACAAATAATAATCATTTTTGGTTTTGAAGATGGGGATAATTTGGGATGGGCCCTTAAAATTTTACAATGTTTAACAAAATATTAGTTTTAATCAATAAAGTAATTGGAATTTGGAAGTCTGGTTACTATATCCTTAATTTACATGTATGAACTTCCCAGAAATTTAAACAAAACAAAAGGAAAAAAAAAAATTTTTGTCACAGCTTTAAATATTTTTTTTGAGAAATTCTATTATTATTGATTATTGACTATTTCTGCTTTACTATCAATCCGTGTTCTATGATATATTGAAAAATAATAAAAGATATGTGAAATTTTATGTATATTTTATTATGCATACCCAGCGAGATTAGTGTTGTAGTTTGGTGTACCATTATCATGGTTTTCTGTATGTTAATTTTTTTTTCATTATAATGTTTCCCAAAAAGAGGTTTCAGATTTATAAATAATGCTTTAAAAACAAAAATACTAATATTTATTAATAAATAGTAACATATTAATAATATACAATTGTCCATAACTTAAATAAACATGAGGATTTTGAAGATGTCACAATTATTTGGTGTGGCTCCTAAAATAAATAATAATAGCCCTTATTTATAAGGCTTTTCAGGACTTGACTAAGTTTCCTTACTAAACTATGATGCTTCCTAAAGGTCCTTCAAATATTATTTAGGAATTTACAAAAAAAATTATTTGCACAAGTCTTTGATAACTTACACTCACTTTGCTTCCTTCATTTGAGCCAGAAGTGTAGACCATTGTTGATTAATTTTAGAATTTAAGTCTTAATGTTTGGAGTGGAAATTGAATCTCTGTCTTCTTTTCTCCTTTTTGTCTTTATACACTGTCCTTTGTAGCATATTTCAGTCTCAAGAGATATTTCTGTTGTTGTAGAGGTTCGATATGGTTCAGAAGTGTCTTTTACTTCCGTTGTGTCCAATGGCAGTGTTGTAATAGATGGTGTTTGGTAAGTGTTGAATGCTTCATCTTTTTCTGTTGTCATTTCTGTTGTTGTTTCCTTCGCAAGAACATCTTCTACCTCCTCTGAACTGCTTTTTTCTTCCTCCGAGTTTTTCTCTTCAGATGAATCAGTAATTTTCTTGTCAGTAACATTTTGTCCATTTTCCATCAATAAGGCCTTATTTGTTTCATTCAATTTAAGGTTGCTTTCTTTTTGTATCCCATTAAATCGCTCTTTTGTGTAGTTATTAATTTGTAGATCCTTAGGGTTTATTTCTGTTATTAGAGAGTTTTCTCTAACCGAACTAATTCTTTGAGATTCAGCTGTTTCAAAGAGGTCCTTTGGCTTCTTAATTTTTCTTCTTACCCAAGTTCCTCTTTTTCTATTACCCTAAAACAAACAGAAAAATGAGATTCCTAAAATCTGTGATTATATAGCATTTCCAAGTCAATTTCAACCTTTTCCAAGTCAAATTCAACCTTTTCCAAGTCAAATTAAACTTTTTCCAAGTCAAATTCAACCTTTTCCATTTCAAATTAAACCTTTTCCATTTCAAATTAAACCTTTTTTTATTTATTTAATTATCTTTAATTTTTCGATGTGTGGGTCTGTTATCGTATGAGTAGTTTTTGAAAATAACCTCCTTTTTAACATTACGTGACTGAGTTTCGAATTATTTAAGTTTTTTTGAATTATTCGATATAAGGGTGTATTTTTATGTTTCCCGATCAGTAAATTTTGAAAATGACATCCATTTATGTTTACGCCACTGTGTTTTGATTCATTTAAGTTTTTATAATTTATCCATATAAAGGTCTACTTTTATGTTTCTGGAGCCGTAGATTTTGAAAACGACCTCCATTTTAAGATTAGGCCACCGCGTTTCGACTTATTTGAGTTTTTCGGATATTTTTCATATGAGGGTGTATTTTTATGTTTCCGGAGCTGTAGATTTTGAAAATGACCTCCATTTTAAGATTAGGCCACCGCATTTCGACTTATTTGAGCTTTTCGGATATTTTTCATATGAGGGTGTATTTTTATGTTTCCGGAGCTGTAGATTTTGAAAATGACCTCCATTTTAAGATTAGGCCACCGCGTTTCGACTTATTTGAGTTTTTCGGATTTTTTTCATATGAGGGTGTATTTTTATGTTTCCGGAGCTGTAGATTTTGAAAATGACCTCCATTTTAAGATTAGGCCACCGCATTTCGACTTATTTGAGTTTTTCGGATATTTTTCATATGAGGGTGTATTTTTATGTTTCCGGAGCTGTAGATTTTGAAAATGACCTCCATTTTAAGATTAGGCCACCGCGTTTCGACTTATTTGAGTTTTTCGGATATTTTTCATATGAGGGTGTATTTTTATGTTTCCGGAGCTGTAGATTTTGAAAATGACCTCCATTTCATGATTAAGCCATTGAATTTTGACTTATTTAAGTTTTTCGAATTTAGCCAACTTAAAGGTCTACTTTTATGTTTTCGGAACCGTAGATTCTGAAAATGACCTCTATTTTATGATTACGCCACTGCGTTTCAACTTATTTAAGTTTTTAGAATTTAACAAGTATAAAGGTCTAATTTTATGTTTCTGGAGCAGCAGATTTCCCCCATTTTGTAAATGACCCAATTTCAAGTTTATGCCACTGTGTTTTGGATTATAAAAGTTTTTTCTTTTTTACTTTTTCGGTATAAGAATCTACTTATATGTTATCCGAGACGCATTGAAATTTTTCTAATCTTTAATATTTAAATTTATCTAATATTTAAGCTCCATTTTATGATTAAGCCGCTGCATCTCGAATAATTAGGCTTCATTTTGGATTTTTACAATACAAAGTTTCATGAATATGTTTTCGAGTATGAATAAATAAATAAATATTATGAAGCTAAAGTTAAATTAACCACAGAATACAAACTAAAAAGTCGAAAAACAGCTGGTAATAAATTTAACCTTCCGTATTTAGATTTTTCAGCTAATTGTTCAAAATCTTATAATTTTGTGACAGGAGACCACAACATTAAAAAAGATAACTAAAATTAAATCAAAAATGAGACAATACATATTTTATTTATTTTGATTAGATATTTTTATTTATTTATTGAAAAATAAATTAATCCTTCATATTTTGTTTTTTATTCGAAGGAAAAATCAAAAACACTTAAAAAAAACCGAAACACAGTGGCATAATCTTAAAATGTAAATCGTTTTAAAAACTAAGGCTCTGGCATCATAAAAATAGACCTTTAAGTTGGATAAATTCAAAAAACTTGAATAAGCCGAAACGCAGTGGCGTAATCTTAAAATGAAGGTCATCTTCAAAATCTACAGCTCCGGAAATATAAAAATACACCCTCATATGAAAAATATCCGAAAAACTCAAATAAGTCGAAACGCGGTGGCCTAATCTTAAAATGGAGGTCATTTTCAAAATCTACAGCTCCGGAAACATAAAAATACACCCTCATATGAAAAATATCCGAAAAGCTCAAATAAGTCGAAACGCAGTGGCCTAATCTTAAAATGGAGGTCATTTTCAAAATCTACAGCTCCGGAAACATAAAAATACACCCTCATATGAAAAATATCCGAAAAGCTCAAATAAGTCGAAACGCGGTGGCCTAATCTTAAAATGGAGGTCATTTTCAAAATCAACAGCTCCGGAAACATAAAAATACACCCTCATATGAAAAAAATCCGAAAAACTCAAATAAGTCGAAACGCGGTGGCCTAATCTTAAAATGGAGGTCATTTTCAAAATCTACAGCTCCGGAAACATAAAAATAAACCCTCATATGAAAAATATCCGAAAAACTCAAATAAGTCGAAACGCGGTGGCCTAATCTTAAAATGGAGGCCATTTTCAAAATTTACTGATCGGGAAACATAAAAATACACCCTTATATCGAATAATTAAAAAAAAACTTAAATAATTCGAAACTCAGTCACGTAATCTTAAAAAGGAGGTTATTTTCAAAACTAGGTACAGGACAGCATAATACTAGTCCCTAATAAATCCGAATAGTTACAATAAATCGATATCCGTAAGTGAAAATTCTACTTAGAAGAGCATAATAATAGACTTTCATATTGGAGGGGGGAGGGGATGGCCATTATTTAAAAAAAAAATATAAGATTTACAAAAAATTAAAACATTAATTTGAAATGAAAACGGTTGAATTTGAATTGGAAAAGGTTTAATTTGAAATGGAAATGGTTGAATTGACTTGGAAAAAGTTTGATTTGATCTGGAAAAGGTTGAATTTGACTTGGAAAAGGTTGAATTTGACTTGGAAATGACATAGAAATATCACACTGAAAAAATCTAAAATGTTAAAATAAATGGATATGCAACCGCGTTATCAAAATTTTTTTTGTATTTTTCAAAAGCTATACCTTCGTTAATATAGTAAGTGGCCTTCATTTCGAAAAAAATCGAAAATTGACAAAAATTCGAAAGTTGAATTTGAAATGGAAAAGGTTGAATTTGACTTGGAAAAGGTTTAATTTGAAATGGAAAAGGTTTAATTTGACTTGGAAAAGGTTGAATTTGATTTGGAAAAGGTTGAAATTGACTTGGAAATGCTATATATGCTAATTTAATTGCAAAAACAGTGATTTATAGATTTTATATTTTATATAACTGTTTAATTAATGCCAATTCCTTAGTATGTTTTTCAACGATATTGCTTAGAATTGAGTGTTTCATCAATGAACTTAGTTTAAAAAAAAAATGAAATAATAAAATTAAAAAAAAAATATTAATTTCAAAGGACAAAATCTAGGGAAATATCTTAGTTAAGAACTGGAATTAAGCATATGGTGATGTTTATGCTTATTGAACTAACCTATAATTGTTTATAATGATGTAGGGATGGTTGACCGTTGATATAATATAAGAAGGAGTTAATCGGGGGTGCGGTCAAATAAATACTAAATTAAAATATATTAATTATTTTAATTTTTGCCGACGTTTCGCCCCACTTTGCAGGTCGTCTTCAGGGCTACAAAAGATACAAAACATGTTGAAAATAAAAAATAAATATAAGTAGATATAAAATAAGAAGAAGTTGTCAGATACAGAAATAAAAGATGATATCAGAGATATAGTGGGTGACAATGTCGTAAAAGTCACCCACTATATCTCTGATATCATCTTTTATTTCTGTATCTGACAACTTATTTTATATCTACTTATATTTATTTTTTATTTTCAACATGTTTTGTATCTTTTGTAGCCCTGAAGACGACCTACATAGTGGGTCGAAATGTCGGCAAAAATTAAAATAATTAATATATTTTAATTTAGTATTTATTTGACCGCACCCAACGATTAACTCCTTCTCATATAATTGTTTATGTTGGTTTCTTGCAATAATGCAATCTTTGATTGGACATGGAAATTAAATTGTTTCGACATTGTACATTTTATATACAAGATATTTGCACTTCTAACTATTGATGAATTTAAAAAAATATTTATATATTATTTTACACCAGTCATACTTTTTTTTGTCATATTTTCTTAATTTTATATTTTTGATGGTTTCTATTTACAGTAAAAATACATTTAAATATGAGTGTCAACTAATATTCAAGAAACTGTCGACCAGTTGTCCTTAACTTTTTAAAATACCTTTCAAATCGGAATATTACCTGTGCTGTTTTTGAATTTTGGTGAGTATCTTCTGATTCATCCGATAAACCGTGGTCGGCTTCATATTCCACTATTGGAGTTTCTTGTTTTACTCTACTTGAATAATAACCAGTTTTTGTGGAATCATTTTGTTGAGTAAATTTTTCAGTTTTATCTTGATCTTCATCTACAAAGCGACTGGGATCCTTACTGGGGTATTGACTAGCTTTGCCTGTGTATTCACCTTCTTTTATTTGCGTATAAGTAATTTTTTGTTCATTTGATGGGTAAGGTGATTGGTCAGATGAATATTGTTCACTTTCCTGTGTGTTGTAGTAATCATCATAATCATTTTGTGAAGGCTCATGTTTTGAATCTTTAGGTGAGGCAACTTGCTTTTCTTCAGAATATGTTTCATCGGGATTGAAAACATAGCTTTGACTTTGTTGTATTGTTACACCTTGATTCCAGTAGTCAGAATCTGAATCTTTTACAGGTTCTTCTACTCGTGTATTTTTCACTGGTTTGGGAGAATCATATCTAGTAGTTGCAGCTGAAGGTCTTCTCCTATGGTTACTTGTTCTGTGAGATGTTCTGGGCACATATGATTGTTTTTCATTAATATCTGCTTCCGAAACGTATGGCCTGGGTGTCGTTTCATAATCCTTGTAATTGGTGACTTTTTTAGTTGTTTCATAATAATTGCTATCTTTAAAACTTTTTGGTTTCTCTGTTGTTTCATAATCATAAGCTACTTTTTTTGTGGTGTCATAATCATTATAATATTTAGGACTTGGGTTAGAATCATGACCTCGGTAATGTGAAGGGTTTTGGGTGGTTTCATATTCTCTATAATATTGAGGCTTTTGGGTTGTTTCATATTCTCTATAGTATTGTTGTTTTGGCGTTGTTTCATAATCTCTGGAATACTGTGGTTTATCTGTTGTTTCATATTCTCGCAAGTATTGTGTCTTTTCTGTTGTATCATAATCTCTTGAATTGTGCACTTTCTGTGTGGTCTCATGAGGCCTTGAGTACGGTGTCCTTTGTGTTGTCTCATAATCTCTTGGGTAATATGCCTTTTGTGTTGTTTCATAGTCTTTTGAATATTGTGGCTTCTGAGTTGTTTCGTAATCCCTATACTGATGTTTTTGTGTTGTTTCATAGTTTCTTGCGTAATGTGCCTTAGGTGTTGTTTCATATTCATCAGTATAGTATGGTTGAGGGGTGGCTCTGAATTGTTTTTGTGTTGGAAAGTTTTCTTCTTGTGTTTCATAAGAATATGCAGGTACTCTACGTGGTGCGTCACTTTCAGAATATTTTTTGTAAGTTCCTTGATTTAAATCTTGGTTTCTGTCATTCTGTGGCTCATATGTTGATTTATCATGAACTCTCTCATCACTATATTGGGGTGTTTCTTCAGCATATTCAGAAGAATCTAAGATAGAAGATTGAGCCTGCTTTGAACTTTCTTTAGTCCTATAATCATTTTGGCTCGGACTCAACCTATGTGGTTGTTGCCACAAAACAGGCAGAGTTTGGAGATGTTCAGTTGTGGTTGTTGGTACTGTAGTGGTAGGTGTTGTGGGTCTTCGAATTCTTCCTCTCCCAGTATGAAGTTTTGTTTGAGGAACAGTTGGTCTTCTTGTCCGAATTAAATATTTAGTGCCTGGAGGAGCATTGGTTGTTGATGTAGTAGTTGTACTTGCAGTAGGTCTCAATGGTCTTCGGTGTGCCCTAGTATGTGAATATCTTCTTCCCGGAGATGATGTGGTAACATCTGACCTTGTATAATGGCTGTTTTCGTCAGATTCTTCACTACTGTTTATTGGAGGTTCAGTTGAAGTTACTTTATACTGATGATAAGGTCTTCCTCTTCCTCTTGATCGTGATCTTGATGAGTATGTTCTTTCTGTTGTAGGTTTTGGAGTTTCAGATATGTTTGAATCATAATGACTTCTTTCATTGTAGTCTTCATTTTTGTTTGTTGTTGGTTGAGAATCGTGGTAGCTATGTTTCTTTGGAACCGTTTGTTCTGATATTTTATCAGGTGATTGAACATCTCTGTATGGTTCTAGTGATTCTTGACTTGCTGATTCGTAACTGGACTTTTGAATATATGGTGTCGTATTCTGCTCCTCGTTACTAGACACATAACCATTGTATGAAGGATTTAAATTTCTTCCATCTTCAATTGTTTGATGTTGTTCTTGCTTTCTGGCATGTTGTAGATGTATGCTGTCTTTATTTACTGTCTCTCGGGAGTAATCTGCATCTTGCATAACATGTGGTGATTCTATTCTCTGATCTTTTTGTCTATAGTTATAGTTTTGTTCTGCAATTGATGGCTGCACGCTGGCATTCTCTCTTTGACGCTTTCTGTAATTAACTTCGTCATAATCATTTGTAATAGAACTAACTTCTGGATAAGTCAAAGGACTTCCTTGTTGATATACAACAGGCTCCTCATATTTTCGAGTTGTTTCTATTCCTGAACGCTTGTCTGTTGGGCTCAAGTTATTTCTGGTAGTTTTACCGTTGAAATTGGTTGGTTGATATTCGTCATACGTTTCTCCTGACGATGCTACGTTTTGGTATTGAGGTGAACTAGTATGGGCAATATTCTTATTTATTGTGTCAGGAGAGTAATAAGCACCATTTAATGTCTGTTCGGGTGTCGTAGCAACAGTTTCATCATTGGAGTATTTGGAGATATAACCTGAGTTTTGATTTGCGAGACCGGCATTAATACTTTCTCTAGACGAGTCATCTTCTTTTGTATTTTCTATGTTACCTGTATATTGGACGGCAGAAGGATGTCTGTCGTCAGGGTTATATTGCGGAGTATCGGTTACTTTATGACTCAGTGTATCTTTTTCAGAAGAATCAATCGAATCTTTGCTCGATTTATATTGATAATAATTTGCATCAGGTTCATAATGGTGTTCTGTAGGAGCTTCTGGAACATTTGTGACTGCTTCTGAGTAGGGATTTGTTCTGTGATTGGTGTTTCTATTTAACGGTCTCCTTTGCCTGGAAACTGATGGTCGCTTTGTAGTCGAAGCATAGGAGACTGATCCTCTCTGTGATCCTCTACTGTTAAATCTCCTGGAACTACTCGGTCTTCTTTGTTTTATCGGTGTTGCGTCAGTAGTTTCTGTCAATGTTTCAGTCGATGATGAACTTGAATATTCTTCTTCTTGTAAAGAGTTTATTAATGATGGAAGCTGAGGACTTATTGAAGATATGTCTGCGGGAATCGTAAATGTTTCTTTTTTATAATTTGTTGTCCTTAAATCAGGATTAGACTGTGGAATTGGATTTTGTTGGATAGATGATGTTTGTTGACTTATATTGGATAGCACTACAGAGCCTATGTGAGGTGGGGGAAATGGTATTTTAGCGAATCCTGGTGGAGGCTGGAAATTCAATGGGGCGACGAAAAATGGTACTTGTGATAATTTATTACTTGTTTGATATTTATCTAGAGATGACAAGTATGGTAGTTCATACTTTATATATCCTGAGGGAGTATTTAAATTTGAGGGGCCAACAAAAATTTGAGGAGAATCGGGGCCTATTGAATCCAGAACTGGGATCGTTTTTGAACCTCTTAACAAACCGACAAGATCGCCGATTCTGCTGCTTGTTGTCTTTTCCATAAATACCGACAGTGGTGGTTGATTTGGTGGCGGAAGTGATGGCTCTGGTTTGTTTACATAGTCTTTTTGTGTATTTCTGTCTTGCTGTGAATGTTTGTAATCAGATATTTCATCTTTAATCGTTGTCTCATCTACGTTTTGTTCTTTGTTTCCTGGTACTGAAGTTCCTAAATTACTATTTTCAGTTTCATACCTTTGAATATATTCTCCTCTTGATTGTGTGTGTGGTTTGTAGTTTGTGGAATAATCATTGTAATCACGATTGGAAACTATTTCTTTTGTGTCTTTAATTGGTTCTTCTGTTACTTCACTATTGGAGTAAACAGATTTTCCTTGAGTTGTAGGTTGTTTTAGATGATATGCAGGCACTTGTTCCTTTAATGGTTGTATAGGATGCCTAAATTTCCTCGATTCTTTTTGGTTGTTTATTTGCGAAAGATCAGGGTTTCTCCCACCTAATTCAGGAGTGTATAGATCTTTTGAGAGAGGTTGATTAAATTCTGGTTTTCTTCCTGCTTTATTTCTCAAATTTTGTTCTTGTTGCTTTAACATTTCAATCGGAACATACAGGATTTGAATTTCTTCTTTCTGGTTGGGATCTCCCACAGATGACAAATTACTATTGAATGGTTCTCCAGAATATTTTGTTTTTGCTAATTTCTCATATGAGTTATCTGGAATTCCTTGCCGTACAGCGTCTTTGCTGACAGCTCTTTCGTCAGTTCCGATTTCTCTTTCGTTGCCAACTGTGTATTGTTCATTTGGAAGTAACTGCCCTTGATTGTAGTTTGGCACTATGCCAAATTGGTTCGGTTGAGAAAAATAATGAGGGCTTGAGACTGGCTCTTTTTGTAGAAGAGCTCTATTGAAAATTGGTAAACTGGCTTGTTGGATTTGTTGGTTAAGGAATTGTGTTAATAACTGTTGAGAATCCAATTGCTGCTGTATCTGTGGCTGTAATTGTGTAGGCAATTGTTGTTGCAGTTGTAGTTGCGGTTGTAACTGTTGTTGTAGAATTTGCTGCTGACTCAGACCTTGAGGATTTACAAACGCTATTCTTTGAGGTGCTGTTTGGGAAGCTACCATTTGTTGTTTTGGATAATCCCCAAGAAATTGATTAGCAGGGTTGTGATGAGGAAACGAGCGTTCATGGTTATGACGTGGTGAGGTAATGGCACTTGGAATTCGTATAGGCTGCTGATTAATTCGATCATTTTTTAATGGCACCCATTCACCTTGACTTCTTATATCATCTGGTTTACTCCACCGGGGCACATCATCTGCTGTGCATAATACCAGTGTCACCAGAACACTGGCAGCACTCAGTACTCTCATATTGGGAAACCTGAAACAAATAAAAAAGAGAAAAGTTAACAGTGGAAAATAACTTCTGTAGAGAAAATAATAGTTCAATTACATATTTCCATGATAACCTTAATTTATTTTTATATTTTACACATATTTATCAATATTTCGGGGTACTTACCCCGATACCCGATACGCTAACTTCAGGATACTCGTCTACAATAATTACATATAACACTCAATAAATAAATTCATGTTTATGAAATTTAACTTAAAAAAATGTTAAAAAGCTTAAAGATCAATGGATATATTTTAGAAAATATATACTTTGCTATATATATATATATATATATATATATATATATATATATATATATATATATATATAATGATGATAAATATCAATAAATACCACTTATTTCCTGTTGACATTACAGACCTTGTAGATCATTTGCCGTGTTAAAAATGCCGTGTTGATATTTCCTGTCTACAGAATCATAGGCTCATTGCTGGCCTTAGGCTGGGGCAACCGGGGCACTATACATATAAGTACCACTATACAACCGTATTAAATTTCATAAAGAAACAAAATAATAAAGTAATTTAAAAATATTTCATGAAGTTCTGGTCAGCACTGTACTCCAACTGGTATAGCTGCTGAGTACTCACTTATTTTAGGGTTGAGTAGATGCATGTAGCGTCTGTCTGTTCCCATTCAAATAAAAAAAAAAAAAATTTATGAACAGTAAATTTAGTGTTCCGAGCCATTTAAATCAGTCTAGTTTTTAAAAGCTTTAATCTTATCAATGATCGTATTATTCCATTAAGAGGTTTGAAAGAAATATGTACAAACATGAATCCATCTACGTTCCGATTTATCATGTGCATACAGCGTTAGAAACCAGTGGTCTACCCCTGAACTTTCTGGCATCTATATATATTACTTTTCATATGAATATTATAAAACAAAAATAAATAATAAGTATTATATAGATATAAATAATTATAGTTTTAAAGATTTATTTCATTTAACATTTTTAATAGTTGTAATATTTTAATTTTTTTACATTGGAAGAGTAAGGGCTGCTTTTCACCTTCCCCTGGGAGGCTCACGACCAAGTTTATTCAATGAGCACATAGGATTGTGGATTGAATTTATTGAGGTTTAAAGCGGAAAATAACATTTAGACGAACTGTTGCGAGCTGTGAGGGCGTGAAAAAATTAGATTTATAAATTTTATATATATATAAAATTTATAAATTTTATATAGGTGTTTCAGGGTTAACTGGTCAAACTGCAAATATGAACTAAGAACCTCCAAACAAGAAAAAAATTGCCTCTGGAGGTGTGTCCGTAAACGCTTTGTTTAGGAGATATTCACACCTAAAGATTTTCGTTGTTATGAATTATTTACGTTATATGAAATAAATAAAACCTATTTATTTGTTCTAACTACTTTATTAATTAAATGTGATTGGGACGACAGTCCAATATATACTCGAAGTAGAAAAAAGAAATATAAAGATTATCTTGTTTTTTCATCAGGGATCAAAGATATATATTTTTATTATTATCTTGGAATTTTTCTTCTTGGTATACTGTTGGCAATATACCAACAATTTCGAGTTTTCCCTCATTTTGAGACCAAATACAATCAGTTCCGGTTGCCTAGAAGAACTTATAGCTTCGCTTTTTCCATCTTTCTTTGTGGAGAGAGAATAATGCATTCAATATTTAAATTTCCTATTTTTTTATGATATGGTACAATTTCCGAACAAAATAATGGAAATAGAAATTAATTTTTTTATTACTGATATATGAATTTTACTAAACAACCCATCAACTATTCATTATATGTTGTTCAGATTAGATATATATTATTTTACTTTATAAAACAGATATTAATATGACTCATTTCCGGGGAAGTATATACAATTTAAATTACCTTTAAGAATCAGTAAATATATATAACAAAGTGTTAAATTGTAAACGTTAAATAAAAAATTCAAGATATTCAGCAAAGTATTTTTGAATCAAGTTTTATTATTATAATTATATCATTATTACAATAGAGACCTTCTTAAACGACCTCCGTATAGAATAAAGGAAAATAAATATAAAAAAATAAATTAATAAAAAAAATAAATTAAAAAAAATTGTTTTATTTTTTTGGGCAATTAAATTTGTTCATTAATACAATCAATATAATGTACCAAAAACGTTATTAAAGCACTATAACTAAGCCATTTATGAGTAATGAATGGTGTGGTAGGGTTCTGTAGGCACGCCATTACCGCTTTTCTACCGCTTAAGTGCATTTTCTACGGAACTGCTTCAAATATTCAAAAAAGTAATCAGTTTTTTAGAAAGAAAATTATATTCTCCAGATGTTTTGTTTCAGCACGTTTTGCGTTATTGTTGGCTGTTTAATTAAACGACGCTTGATTTTCAACTTGAAAATTTTTTTGTTACAATAATTGACTTGACTGGTGTTTTTTATTGCCTTAAGCCAATTATTTTTTAATATTTTTCTATAAATATCTGGCTTTAATAAAAGAGCAACTATGATGAAACTAAGCCAAATGCTGATTCTCAGTGAGCAAAAAACTAACTAACGTCAAAGTCGTCAGTGGGCCATGTTCGGACGACATTTTGTGGCAGTTCGTTCACTTTTTTTGTGGGAGCATTGGCTTTTTTTAAATAAATAGTTACAAAGAACACAACGATATGCAATTTATAGGGATGTGGGGTGGGGGGAGGGGGAGAGGGTGCACGGTAGGAGGGTCTGGCCACCGTGTAGATGATATCAAGGAATGTTTTCGAAACTTTGGGAGATGATTTTACCAAGATGTACAAAGTGGGATCAAAGGGAGAATTCGAAAGAAGTATGGTAATTGTTTGAATAAAAACATTAAAATGCCCAATTTCTTGGATTCTCTGATCTTTATAAGGAGCAACCAGGATCTCTACGAAAAATACACCCATAGAGACGGTTTGTGGACCTAGTAACCACTAGCGAATCTAGGATTCAATTTTTCGGACTATTTCAGCCCGAAAGATTTTTTTATATACATACAACGATAATTACTTTAGGAATAAACTAAACTAAATAGCTAGATGAAATGGTGTTTAAGTGCTTCTTGAAGTCCTAGTAGATGTAATTGCTTTACTGACAATTAATGTGTTAACCTCTTACATGACCTCACGATTCAGTTTTCGTCAATATTATATTTTAAAAAGGATATGAGTAGTTGTAGCCCAGTCAAATACCTAGATTTTTGTCGATCTTTTGTTGTTTTTTCACCTATGATTCCTAAACGGTGCATCGAAGTGGAAAGCGTACACTTTATGAAATTAAAGAATGTTAAATTGGGCGTTTAATGAGTACCTAAACTTAATAATTTGGCTTAGTAGTATGGTAAAAAATCAAGGTCAACCAGACCTGATTTTTACCAAATTTGTCAAAAACTGAGACAAATTACTATAAATGATCCTGCAGCTTGGAAATGACTCCCCTGAAAGGTAACGCATAAAATAAATTTTGTATACATCAAATTCCGCGTCCACTGATGTCAACCGTGGCTGTATATTGGTAATTAAGGCACGTGAGATATTAAATATTTTAACAGTGTGGGTGTCGTTTCTACCAAGTTATTCTTTTTTTGCGTCTGCTTTTACCGCTTTTCTACATCTCAGAAATTAAGGAATTTGGGAAATTGGGCGTTAAAAGAAACCGAATTTTATTAAGAAATAACCGATCCCGATTCGAAGGAAACAATTAACCTATATTAAAAATGAAAGTACTCAGTGGACGCAAAATTTGATGCTCTACGATTTTGATTATTTTTTATCTTAAAAAACTTTATTAAAAAAAACTTAAAACCCAAGCTGCCGGGTCATTTATAGTAATTTGACTCAGTTTTTTACAAATTTGGTAAAAATCAGCGTAGGTCGACGGTCTTTTTCAACAATTCCACTTATTTTTAATACATATATATACATTTTTTAAATATTTTATTGAGAAATATTACAATCTGTCTCAGTTAAGGACACTTATAATAGAGTTCAGAGAGTACATTCATACCGTATATACAAAAATATAAATAAATAAAGTAAAAACAGAACAAAAGAAAAAAAAAAAAAAAATATATATATATATATATATATATATATATATATATATATATATATATACATAAGTAAGTAAAAATAGAAATAAAAGTAAAACTAACATCTTAGATAGAAGCATACCTATGTACAGTATTTACAATCAGCCAGGGAAACTCCGAAACAATCTTATCCCCCCACATGTGAAAGGAAAAGCGAGGCTTAGGAGATCCCTACGCTTCTCCCTCAGCCACTTCACTGGTATTTAAAACCAGCGAAGGATGAGTAAGAGAGCTACAGCCACAGACACTCATGACTTGACTGGAGAATCTGGCCATTGCTATAACTCCAAAATATCCATATTACAAAAGGTCTCGTGGCCATTGCCGCTTTAACCTACGAAGGGGATTGTAGGGATGGGTGGTGCTTGATAGGGATTTGATTGATGAGTAAGGTTCTGATGAAATTTGTCTGGGATAAGATTAAGAATAAATAGAATATTAGGGTCATTATGCAGGGTTTTATTGGTTACATAGAAGGGAGCATTGACTATTCTACGGAGGACTTTAGACTGAAAGGATTGAATGCGTTTGATGTTAGAATTTTTTTTTTTTAAGATTAGATATTCGTTTGACGCGCAATTAAGTTGTTTAATTTCCTACATTTCTTCACATTTTTCACAATATATCTTATTTCGATCTTCAAGTTATTGTACTTATATTCTTTAAATCAGCCGTCAGATTTGAATGGAGTGGCTCTCGAGTGGCAGACATATTTATTTTACTTATACTAACATACCCTTTCGTAATTTACATTCAAACCCTCGGCTGCGATGAGGTCCTAGCTCCAGAGGTTACCATGTTCTACGTTTTCCATGTATGGTTTCTTTATATGGATGTATATGTTTTTTTTTTCTTTTAAATATTTGGAAGTCT